GAACGTATAAAATACTCAGAGGGATTGACAGAGTGGACATAGACGAAATGTTCACACGGAATAGTAACAGAACGAGGGGACATGGGTGGAAGCTGGAAACTCAGGTGAGTCACAGAGATGTTAGGAAGTTTTCTTTTAGCGTGAGAGTAGTGGGGAAATAGAATGTACTTCAGGAACAGGTTGTGGAAGCAAATACTATTCATAATTTTAAAACCAGGTATGATAGGGAAATGGGACAGGAGTCATTGCTGTAAACAACCGATGCTCGAAAGGCGGGATCCAAGAGTCAATGCTCGATCCTGCAGACACAACTAGGTGAGAACACACACACACACACACACACACACACACACTCACACACACACACACACACACACACACACACACACACACACACACACACACACACACACACACACACACACACACACACACACACACACACACACACACACACACACACACACACACACACACACACACACACACACACACACCAGGCAATAAGCAGATACAGTAATACAAAGATCGGCTTATTATGTAATCTTTCTGATGTTTACACACTCGCGGGACGCCATTTGATACATTCTGACTCAGCTGTATTAATGCAGCCATACATTTCACACACACAACAATATAGGTGTATTAATAAAAGTATCGATATCTAGCTGTAATGTAATTCTTTTGTAATGTTATCCCGTGATCATTATTGCATAATTGTCTACGCTACGATACTGTCACCTGTTGACAGTATCGTCATTATCACCGCTGCCGACAGTATCGTGCAGTATACACAGTATTTTTCCGACCATTTAACAAATTAGTTCAGTAATATGTAAGGATAAAAATCCACAGCAGACATCAACCCGATTCTTGCAATTAGTCGCTTCTTATTTTAATCTTTTTAGCATTTTTTTTTTTTTCCTTTTTATTCTTTCCGTCTGAGTCGGTGTTTACGAGGTCGCTCGTCTCCTCCGCCAGTGAGGAGAGCGATAAATATAACTGCCAATTACGCTCGACAAGTAGAGGCAGGTAGATGAGGCAGGTAGATGAGGCTGGCTACGCACTGACTCTACCATTTGGCGGCAAAACTATATAACATTTTCGGTTAAAAACCGAATAAAAAATGTGTAAAAAACATAAAAATCGTTCGTTATTCATGCATTAATTAGGTAAGTCAGGTTGTCCTCCCGGCTGAGCGGACGGCGCTCGGGAATCGTAGTCCAGGGACCCACGCACACATTTGATTCCCAACTGAGGTGGAAACAAATGGGCAGAGCTCCTTTTTTTACCTGCTTCCTCTGTTCACCTAGCAGTAAAGAGGTACCTGGTAGCTAGTCAGCTGTCGCAGGGTGCTTTCTGTTGATGTGTGTGTGTGTGTGTGTGTGTGTGTGTGTGTGTGTGTGTGTGTGTGTGTGTGTGTGTGTGTGTGTGTGTGTGTGTGTGTGTGTGTGTGTGTGTGTGCGCGCAAAAATAGGTGAGTACACACACACAGAAAGAGAAAGACAGACAGAAAGGACTCTGAAGGACAGAGAGAAAGATCTAGGAGTTGATATCACACCAAACCTGTCTCCTGAAGCCCACGTAAAGAGAATAACGTCTGCGGCATATGCGAGGCTGGCTAACATCAGAACAGCGTTCAGGAACCTGTGTAAGGAATCATTCAGAATCTTGTACACCACATATGTAAGACCAATCCTGGAGTATGCGGCCCCAGCATGGAGCCCGTACCTTGTCAAGCACAAGACGAAGCTTGAAAAAGTTCAAAAAGTCTAGAATGCCACTAGACTAGTCCCAGAACTAAGAGGCATGAGTTACGAGGAAAGGCTGCGGGAAATGCACCTTACGACACTGGAAGACAGAAGAGTAAGGGGGAGACATGATCACTACCTACAAAATCTTCAGAGGAATCGACCGGATAAACAAGGATAAACTATTCAACACTGGTGGGACGCGAACAAGGGGACACAGGTGGAAACTGAGCACCCACATGAGCCATAGAGACGTTAGAAGGAACTTTTTCAGTGTCAGAGTAGTTAACAGATGGAATGCATTAGACAGTGATGTGGTGGAGGCTGACTCCATACACAGTTTCAAGTGTAGATATGATAGAGCCAAGTAGGCTCAGGAACCTGTACACCAGTTGATTGACAGTTGAGAGGCGGGATCAAAGAGCCAAAGCTCGACCCCCCACAAGCACAAATAGGTGAGTACAAATAGGTGAGTACACACAATAACTCCCACACACACACACACACACACACACACACACACACACACACACACACACACTCACACACACACACACACACACACACACACACACACACACACACACACACACACACACACACACACACACACACACACACACACACACACACACACACACACACACACACACACACACACACACACACACACACACACACACACACACACACACACACACACACACACACACACACACACACACACACACACACACACACACACACACACACACACACACACACACACACACACACACACCCCCCCCCACACACACACACACACACACACACACACACACACACACACACACACACACACACACACACACACACACACACACACACACACACACACACACACACCCACACACACACACATCATTCCAACCCTGACACAACCAATGTACACAACTCTACCACACGCCCTTCGCCCCTTCCTTAACAATTCCAGCCACACTCACTATTCAAGACTCAGTTATCCTTCATACTCACACACAAATTTGCTCCTTTTTTCTCCCCCTTTCTACTAAATTCCTACCCTTCTGCCCTTTCATTCTAACTCCTCCCTCACCATTCCATCTCTACCGCCACATTCCTCCATACTCACAGCCTTGACACATCCCACACTCACTGCTCCTTTTCCTGTAGTCACCTCACAGAACCTCATAATCTCATCTTTCCCAAATTTCTTCTCTAAAAAATAATTCCCAGATATATAAGATAAAGACGAAAAACTTCAGAATGTTGCACACTAATGCTGATGAGCTTATTAACAAAGTATGAGAAATAAAGGGCAGAAAACAGGAATTAAATCTAGATATAATAGCAGTAGTGAAAACAAAACTCAGGGGAGTGGCACCAAATAATGTTTTACTCAGAAAGTAGCAGATATCAAGACATTGAAGAAATTAGATAGGAAGAGGAGCACCATCACTGATAAAATGTGAGATGTAATTGACGAGAATATTATTGAGGAAGCAAATGGATACACTTATTATACAATAGGAATTATACAATAGCAATCACAACAGAACAGATGACAATAATCATTATAGAAATAATAATAGTCAATAATCGTCTTCAACTTATCCATTAAATAACAAAAAAAAACCAGATTGGATTAGAAAGATACACACAAATCTAACATAGACAGAATCCAAGATTAAGCTATCTTGAGGTTATCTTGAGATGATTTCATGGCTTTTAGTGTCCCCGCGGCCCGGTCCTCGACCAGGCCTCCACCCCTAGGAAGCAGCCCGTGACAGCTGACTAACACCCAGGTACCTATTTTACTGCTAGGTAACAGGGGCATAGGGTGAAAGAAACTCTGCCCATTGTTTCTCGCTGGCGCCCGGGATCGAACCCGGGACCACAGGATCACAAGTCCAGCGTGCTGCATGCTCGGCCGACCGGCTCCCTAGCTAGAATAATCCCAAAAATACTGATAAACTCCTAATCATTGGCGACTTCATCTTCCCAGAAATAGATTGGGATTTACGGAATGATATCATATGTTATCAGTCAGAAGAACCTTACTAGAAGCAAGCGACCATACTTGTATAACTATACTGCATAACTATACTGTATAACTATACTGCATAACTATACTGTATATCTATACTGCATAACTATACTGTATATCTATACTGCATAACTATACTGCATAACTATACTGCATAACTATACTGTATAACTATACTGCATAACTATACTGTATAACTATACTGCATAACTATACTGCATAACTATACTGCATAACTATACTGTATAACTATACTGTATAACTATACTGTATAACTATACTGTATATCTATACTGTATAACTATACTGTATAACTATACTGCATAACTATACTGTATAACTATACTGTATAACTATACTGTATAACTATACTGTATAACTATACTGCATAACTATACTGCATAACTATACTGCATAACTATACTGCATAACCATACTGTATAACTATACTGCATAACTATACTGTATAACTATACTGTATAAACTATACTGCATAACTATACTGTATAACTATACTGCATAACTATACTGTATAACTATACTGCATAACTATACTGCATAACTATACTGCATAACTATACTGCATAACTATACTGCATAACTATACTGCATAACCATACTGCATAACTATACTGCATAACTATACTGCATAACTATACTGTATAACTATACTGTATAACTATACTGTATAACTATACTGTATAACTATACTGCATAACCTAGCTACCAGAAGGGATTAGGACAAAATTAAGTAACTAGGACACATGAAAGAGATAATTGGATAAAAATGAAATATACAAGATTATATACTTGGTCACCAGTACACTCAGAAAAAAAGACCACCACTTACGGGCTATTCATGCCCGTGCCACCTCTTGGGTGGCTTAATCTTCATCAATCAATCAATCAACGGAACTGAAGAAGGAAGATACAAATCAGTCATAAGAAAAGAAGGAAAAGAAATAAGGATGCAAGTCCAAGGAACAATCAAGAATACCTCAAAGAAAAGAAATGCAAAACAGCATATGAGATCCAAACAGCATGAGAAAGATCCAAAACAGTATGAGAAAGATCCAAAACAGTATGAGAAAGATCCAAAACAGCATGAGAAAGATCCAAAACAGTATAAGAGATACAAAACAGCATGAGAAAGATCCAAAACAGCATGAGAAAGATCCAAAACAGTATAAGAGATACAAAACAGCATGAGAAAGATCCAAAACAGCATGAGAAAGATCCAAAACAGCATGAGAAAGATCCAAAACAGCATGAGAAAGATCCAAAACAGCATGAGAAAGATCCAAAACAGCATGAGAAAGATCCAAAACAGCATGAGAAAGATCCAAAACAGCATGAGAAAGATCCAAAACAGTATAAGAGATACAAAACAGCATGAGAAAGATCCAAAACAGCATGAGAAAGATCCAAAACAGCATGAGAAAGATCCAAAACAGCATGAGAAAGATCCAAAACAGTATGAGAAAGATCCAAAACAGCATGAGAAAGATCCAAAACAGCATGAGAAAGATCCAAAACAGCATGAGAAAGATCCAAAACAGCATGAGAAAGATCCAAAACAGCATGAGAAAGATCCAAACAGCATGAGAAAGATTCAAAACAGCATGAGAAAGATCCAAAACAGCATAAGAGATACAAAAACAGCATGAGAAAGATCCAAAACAGCATGAGAAAGATCCAAAACAGCATGAGAAAGATCCAAAACAGCATGAGAAAGATCCAAAACAGCATGAGAAAGATCCAAAACAGCATGAGAAAGATCCAAAACAGCATGAGAAAGATCCAAAACAGCATGAGAAAGATTCAAAACAGCATGAGAAAGGTCCAAAACAGCATGAGAAAGATCCAAAACAGCATGAGAAAGATCCAAAACAGCATGAGAAAGATCCAAAACAGCATGAGAAAGATACAAAACAGCATGAGAAAGATCCAAAACAGCATGAGAAAGATACAAAACAGCATGAGAAAGATCCAAAACAGCATGAGAAAGATCCAAAACAGCATGAGAAAGATCCAAAACAGCATGAGAAAGATCCAAAACAGTATAAGAAAGATACAAAACAGCATGAGAAAGATCCAAAACAGCATGAGAAAGATCCAAACAGCATGAGAAAGATCCAAAACAGTATGAGAAAGATCCAAAACAGCATGAGAAAGATCCAAAACAGTATAAGAGATACAAAACAGCATGAGAAAGATCCAAAACAGCATGAGAAAGATCCAAACAGCATGAGAAAGATCCAAAACAGTATAAGAGATACAAAACCGCATAAGAGACACAAAAAAGCATGGGAAAGATACTAACAGATCTCCATAAAACAGCAAGAAATTATTATATAAAATGCCTAGCTAAGATGAACGATGAAAATAGCAGAAAGGATGGGAGGACACACAGAAAATGATGAGGAAATGTGTGATACAGGCAGCGCCAGATTTGAACCAGAAGGAAGTGTTTGTTGATACAGCGCCACGCCCAACACGAGGCTCCCAAGACTACCATATATCATCTTCAGCATATTTGGTTCTGGAAGCCATTTAGAACCACATTTTTGGAACGTAGAGGAGCATTAAGGTCTTCAGAGCATTAAACGCGAGATGTGTGATTACCACAATATACGTACTAGCACTCCCTCATACACACATACTAGCACCATTCATACATACACACGTACTAACACTCTTCCCCCCCCCACACACACACACATGATCACCACATACAAGGTTCTCAGGGGAATTGATAGGGTAGATAAAGATAGACTATTAAACACTAGGGGCACATCCACTAGGGGGACACAGGTGGAAATTGAGTGCTCAAATGAGCCATAGAGACATTAGAAAGACATTTTTCAGTGTCAGAATAGGAGACAAATGTAATGCATTAGGCAGTGATGTGGTGGAGGCTGACTCCATACACAGTTTCAAGTGTAGATATTATAGAGCCCAGTAGGCTCAGGACTCTGTACACCAGTTGATTGACAGTTGAGAGGCGGGACCAAAGAACCAGAGCTCAACCCCCACAAGCACAACAAGGTAAGTACAAACAAAGGTCTCAGATAGGCGAGACGTGACCAGTAGAGTCCCGCAGGGATCAGTCCTTGGACCAATACTGTTTCTGATATATGTATATGATCTCCCAGAGGGGTATAGAATCGTTCCTCTCATTGTTTGCTGATGATGCAAAAATTATGAGGAGGATTTAAACAGAGGAAGATAGTATGAGGCTACAAGATGACCTAGACAGACTGAATGAATGGTCCAACAAATGGCTACGAAAGTTCAACCCGAGTAAATGCAAGGTAATGAAACTAAGCGGTGGAAACAGGAGGCCAGACACAGGATGCAGAATAGGAGATGAAGTACTTAATGAAACGAACAGAGAGAAAGATCTAGGAGTTGATATCACACCAAACCTGTCTCCTGAAGCCCACATCAAAAGAATAACATCTGCGGCATATGCGAGGCTGGCTAACATCAGAACGGGTCACATCTGACCCGCGCCACATATATACCTGGCGCCACCAGCGGCCAAACACAGACAACAACTGCCTGGCCGCAACACCATGGATCAGCTGACGCCATAAACACAACACACCGCCCTACGGTGCGGCAAGTCTCCCTCAACATACACCTCTACAGAATTACATTTCACCTTTGTGAATGCACATTAATGGCACTATGTAAAAGACACATCAAACACTTTATGTAGGGCATACGTAAATCTGTGTATCTATGTATTTACGTATGTAGGTTACCTTAGCATTTTAAAAGCACCGAATCACCTTCTGTGGTTGAGTGTTCAATAAACCCTTGAACTCTATGTTTAAACACATCTCTAACCCTGTCCATGGAGGACAGAAAAAATGTATATATGCTGGTTAGCATTGTAAATGTCTGGCCACGTCTGTGGTAGAAAATAATAATAAAAAAAAAAAACATACACCTCTGTTCTAGTCGCCACTCCTCGATCTACACAACGCAACCTGCACTTTTGAAACTCTTATCATCCTCAACATAAACGCCTCTACCAACATGTGTACTGGTGCAGTCATCGGGAGGACAAACCCTTCATGCAAACTGCACCTACTATCAAGAAGAAGAAGAACATCAGAACAGCGTTCAGGAACCTGTGTAAGGAATCATTCAGAACCTTGTACGCAACATATGTAAGACCAATCCTGGAGTATGCGGGCCCAGCATGGAGCCCGTACCTTGTCAAGCACAAGACGAAGCTGGAAAAAGTTCAGAGGTATGCACTAGACTAGTCCCAGAACAAATAGGCATGAGTTACGAGGAAAGGCTGCGTGAAATGCACATCATGACACTTGATGGGGGACACATGATCACTACATACAAAATTCTCCGGATTTGACAGGGTAGATAAGGATGATAACATGAACAAGGGGACACAGGTGGAGACTGAGTACCCAAATGAGCCACAGAGGACGCTAGAAAGAACTTTTTCAGTGTCAGAGTAGTTAACAGAATGCATTAGGCAGTAATGTGGTGGAGGCTGACTCCATACACAGTTTCAGGTGTAGATATGATAGAGCCCAGTAGGCTCAGGAACCTGTACACCTGTTGATTGACAGTTGAGAGGCGGGACCAAAGAGCCAGAGCTCAACCCTCGCAAGCACAACTAGGTGAGTACACACACACGGCCAGCCAGAGCAACAACCGGCCAGCCAGAGCCACAACCGGCCAGCCAGAGCAACAACCGGCCAGCCAGAGCCACAACCGGCCAGCCAGAGCAACAACCGGCCAGCCAGAGCAACAACCGGCCAGCCAGAGCAACAACCGGCCAGCCAGAGCCACAACCGGCCAGCCAGAGCAACAACCGGCCAGCCAGAGCCACAACCGGCCAGCCAGAGCAACAACCGGCCAGCCAGAGCAACAACCGGCCAGCCAGAGCAACAACCGGCCAACCAGAGCCACAACCGGCCAGCCAGAGCAACAACCGGCCAGCCAGAGCAACAACCGGCCAGCCAGAGCAACAACCGGCCAGCCAGAGCAACAACCGGCCAGCCAGAGCAACAACCGGCCAGCCAGAGCAACAACCGGCCAGCCAGAGCAACAACCGGCCAGCCAGAGCCACAACCGGCCAGCCAGAGCAACAACCGGCCAGCCAGAGCAACAACCGGCCAGCCAGAGCAACAACCGGCCAGCCAGAGCAACAACCGCCAGCCAGAGCAACAACCGGCCAGCCAGAGCAACAACCGGCCAGCCAGAGCAACAACCGGCCAGCCAGAGCAACAACCGGCCAGCCAGAGCAACAACCGGCCAGCCAGAGCCACAACCGGCCAGCCAGAGCAACAACCGGCCAGCCAGAGCAACAACCGGCCAGCCAGAGCCACAACCGGCCAGCCAGACGCAGATCTTCTCTTAATCCGGAAGTGTGCAATAATTAGCCAGGAAAAAAAACACTGAAAAAAATCAATTAAGATGATGTGTGGGTGGGCGGGGTGGGTCTGGGTGAGTCAGTGAGATAAGTGGGCGGCTTCCCTGCACACTATTGACTCACCTGCTTGAGTGCATCATCTGCGTGTGGTGTGTAATTTGACCTTGACCAAAAAAAAATAAAAAATTAAAAGTCTATTGCCTCTGAACGCTCTCGTCAAGATGGAAGGGAGAGTTGCCAGTGTGTGTGTGTGTGTGTGTGTGTGTGTGTGTGTGTGTGTGTGTGTGTGTGTGTGTGTGTGTGTGTGTGTGTGTGTGTGTGTGTGTGTGTGTGTGTGTGTTATCATTGTGGGTATTGATGCAGTAGGTAGGGACATATCCCTGGGCTCAGAATAGTAGAGAATGATGGTCTGAGGTTGTAATGGAAGGGAGACTATTGTAAACTGGTAGAGGATCGTGGTTTAGAGTTGTACTGACAGGGAGACTATTGTAAACCGGATAATCATTGCTCGGAATGGGGATGAAGTGAACAACATATAACTGAAGATTTTGAAGAATTATTCACAAGAAAACAGAGGAATCAAAACAAACAAACTCACAAACACATTGACGTCACAAAATTCTCCACAAAATTCACCACAAAATTCTCGAGTATTGGAAATAATCAAAGAGATGTATGAAGTCCATTTTAAGTACATAAAAGCAACTTTTATACTTACCTGATAAACATCGATGAATGTAAACAACACAGAGGTATGTATAGTTCTATGTATAGTTCCGTGAACAACTAAGAACTATACATAGAACTCAGGAACACTGGAGACAAATTATTAAAATATATCAAAAAAAACTTAGATGTGAGGAGGAGACGAAGCAATTCATATTAAAGAAAATGTTAAATATCAAACAAGGAATACAAAAAAATGAGAAACAAAGAAACAAAAATGAGAAACAAAAATGATTTCTTTATAATTTAATATTATAAATAGTATAGCCATTCAAGTTTGATATTATATATTCTGCTAATAATTACCAATATAGGGCTAAACATTTCCAAACTAGATTACATTTTTGAAGGAAAAAAAAAAAAGATTGGAAAACAAAAAAGGAAAAAAATCATTAAAAAGATTGAATATTCCAATTAGCCGGAAGAATTGTGATGAAAAGATATTAACATATTTCCATATATTTACATTTAAAAAAAAATCTTTATATTACGCTCAGGAAGAGATAAAAATTGCACTAACTTTGTAATAAAATCTGAGAATAATCGCATGTATTGTAAATGAAGAGAGAGAGAGAGAGAGAGAGAGAGAGGAAGAGAAAGAGAGAGAGAAAGAGAGAGAGGAAGAGAGAGAGAGAGAGAGGAAGAGAGAGAGAGAGAGAGAGAGAGAGAGAGAGAGAGAGAGAGAGAGAGAGAGAAGAGAGAGAGAGAGAGAGAAGAGAGAGAGAGAGAGAGAAGAGAGAGAGAAGAAGAGAGAGAGAAGGGAAGAGAGAGAGAGAGAGAGAGAGGAAGAGAAAGAGAGAGAGAGAGAGAAGAGGAGAAGAGAGAGAGAGGTGAGAGAGAGAGGAAGAGAAAGAGAGAGAGGAAGAGAGAGGGAGAGAGAGGAGAGGAGAGAAAGAGAGAGAGAGAGAGAGAGGAAGAGAAAGAGAGAGAGAGAGAGAGAGGAGAGAGAGAGAGAGAGAGAGAGAGAGAGAGAGAGAGAGAGAGAGAGAAGAGAGAGAGAGAGAGAGAGAGAGAAGAGAGAGAGAGAGAGAGAGGAGAAGAGAGAGAGAGAGAGAGGGAGAAGGAGAGAGAAGAGAGAGAGAGAGAGGAGAGAGAGAGAGAGAGAGAAGAGAGAGAGAGAGAGATGAGAGAGAGAGGAGGAAGAGAGAGAGAGAGAGAGAGAGAGAGAGAGAGAAGAGAGAGA